CTCAGACACGCGCACACAGTCACTAACACATGGACAGGAGCAGACGCCTGAGGCTGGGGGGAGAGGGGGGCCTGCTTTTTTCCTTTTTCTTTTTTTCTTTTTTTTTTTCTTCCGGGAGGCGGAGAGAAAAAAAAACGGTCAACGAGAAAAACGATTCAGATGGAGAAGGAAAGAAAACACAACACAAACTATAAGCCACCTGGGGAGAGAGAGAGTGTCCTGTTAGCGTGGGCAGGACCGCCCAGCACCCACCTCCTGCGCTCCCCTAGACCCTGGCAGGGAGCCGGGAGGGAGGGGCAGCCCTATGGGGATAGGGCCCACCCAAGGCTGGAGGGCTTGGACAACACCTGCTCAGTTCTAGCCCCTCCCACAAGCTGTGTGGGGCCTGCTGCAGGCCCCCCCTCCCACAGTTGCCCCATGCCCCCCCCCCCAAAGAGCAAAACGCCTTCGCCCCATGGCCTGTGGTTCCCACTGCCTGGGTTTGGGAAGCAGAGTGGCAGGCCTTCCTTCAGCTCCACGGGTCCCCACTCAGCTTCCCAGCATCCCACCCCGGCATCCACAACGGGCGCTGGCCCCACATGAGGTGCCCTGGCAGAGATGGGGCCTGGGTCGCCCTCCCCTTCCCCCCTCCCTGCCATAGTCAATTCTCACTCATAAGCAACCCTCGAGGGCAACGCCCATCTTTCTCCCAAGGAACAGCTGCTGGTGGTTTTGAACTGCCAACCTTGTGGTGAGCAGCCCAATGCATAACCAACCACCGGGCCACCAAGGCTCCTGCAAGCCTCCTGCGTGGAAGGTGGGGTACCATCCAGGGAGCAGTCGCTGGGCCCCAGAGCTTAGGGTCTCCCAGAAGGAGGGCTGGGAGACGAGGGCCAAAGAAGATTCCCAAATGCCTCCATCCTGAATTGGAGCAACCTTGCCCTGGCTAGAACCTCTCGGAAGGGATCCCACGGCTGAATTTCTAAAGCCAGTGAGTGGCACAAGTGCTGTATCCAAGACAGCAGATGAAAGCAAGCTGGGGTCATCAGCCAGGATGACCCGGGCCCTGAAGGGACCTAGTCGGCCCCATCTAGAGCCTCTTCAGTCCCAGGGGGTGGGATCTGGCACCCGCCAAGCATGGCTCTCTCTGGAAGTTGGCGCACAGGCCCCAGAGCAAGGCAGGGACGGCCAGCCCTATGCCTCGTCCCCCTACAAGGTGCCGCTGACACCTTTGTTTGGCTCAGAAGTCTCAAGGTTGAAGAGGCAGAGCATCGGTGGGGAGGCTGCGGGCCAGAATGACCAGGGCAGAGGACGGCATGGTGGGGCCCAAGGCTGGGCCCTGGGAAAACGTGGGCAGATGGGTCCCACCGCCCTCTTCTGCCCACCCCTGGCTCTGAGGGCAGTTGGGGGAGGGGGCCACAGCTGCTCAGGGCAGCTGGACCCAGGCCAGCTCCTAGGCTTCATCTAGAACGCAGACATTTGGACTGAGTCTTGATCCTGGCGCTGAACGCCCCCTGCCCAGCTCTTCCCCAAGAACTCCCAGCATCGGATCCCAGACCTTCTAAATCCAGGACCCAGAGGGCAAGCCCACATCCGGTCCCAGCTTCAAGTCTGGCCTTCATCCCACCCCGGGCCACCCTGTCCCACCTCAGGCCCTTGCTGGATGACGCAGGGGGCGAGCAATGCCGGCCAGAGTCACCTCATTAGCATGCGGTACTCTCCCTCCGTCACCATGGCAACCAGCTGCTGGGCTCCCTCAGGCATGACGGCACCAGCCAGCTTGGTGCAGGAAGCCACTTCCCTCTGCGTTGTGGGCCTGGCTGAGGCTGCTTCCCAAAGCCCAGCTGCCCATTCATCTGAGAGCACCCCACTTCAGACCCCGGAGTGAGCGCAGATGCAGTGGGGGCATTCTTAAACAGCCCCCCACCCATGCGCCTGTGGTATCAGCCCTCCTCCCTGGCCCAGCAAGCCAAGAGTGGTGGTGGGTGGCACTGCCAAGGGTCGCTTCAGAGGGCACCATATCTGGCTGCTTCTGGGTCTCCTCTCCCTGCCGGGGGGTGGGGGGGGCTAGGCAGGGAAGGGCAGCGGGGCTGGGGCCCCAGGAGGAGCTAGGCCTGAGGCAGTGGAGAGGGTGGGATTTCAGGGCCAAAAGCCCCAGCACCTGGCAACCCACTGCCCGCCAGCCTGAGGGGAGACCAGACACACAGCCATTTGGATACACTCTCACACTCACACAAGCACTCACATACACACACACTCACACTCACACATTCACTGGCACATGCACACACCTACACAAGCTCATGCGCACTCACACATGCATGCACATGTACTCACATGCACACATGCACTCTCACACGCACACATGCACTCTCACATGAGCACTCATGCACACATGTATTCACACACACTCTCACACATTCACTGACACATCCACACACCTACACAAACTCACGCATGCACTCATTCATGCACACATGTACTCACACACATCCACACATGCACACACACACTCATATACTCCTCACACACGCACACACGCAAGTGCACACATGTACTCACTCATGCATTCACACACGCACATATGCACACATGTACTCATGAACATACTGCACATATGCACGCACATATGCACACATGCACTCGCACAATCACACATGTATGCACACATGCACTCACACAATCACACACGTACTCACATGCACACGCGCACGCACATGCACACACATGCACACGTACTCACTTGCACTCACACACACATATTCATACCCAAGCTCTCATGCACTCACAGGCACACACGCATTCACATGCACTCTCATGAATGCAATCCACACACAAGCTCACACTTGCACTCACATGCCATCTACACTCACAACTTCCACACTCATGTTTTCACTCACATGTGCATACTCATCTAAACACCATGCCCTCACATGCTATCAAATATGCAACCCCACACTGATCCTACACACTCAAGACCATTCACACTCACCTGCACTCACACATTCTCATACTCACCTGCACTCACACATGCACACTCCCATATGCACCCCATGTTCAACTTACACACTCAGACACACCCTCATGCTCACATACTTTCACTCACACAGGGACACACTCACACAGCCCTGCAGTCACACAGGGACACACACAACACAACCTCAGACACGCGCACACAGTCACTAACACATGGACACAGTCACACAGGGACACACAACTTCAGACAGACTACTGCACAGTCACACGTGGACACACACACACAACGCAACCTCGGACACACTCACACAGGGATACACACACACACAACCTCAGACACACACCTGCACACTCACACACACCCCAGGCCAGCGCTAAAGCAGCAGACTGCCTTGTCACCCAGAGAAGTGGCAGGGGGAGGGGCTAGATCTCTTTCTGCACATGCCCCCAGAGCCCAGCTGGCCCATGTGCCCCTGTCCGGCTGCAAGCTGGGGACAAAATTGTCCCCTTTCCTCCCTTCCTGTCTCCAGGTCACTGTGCCCGTATCCCTGCTGTCCTGCCCCCCTCCCCTCTGCAGCCCTGCCTCCCCCCACCCCTGGCCCACCCTCCCCTGCACCCTGTCCCCCTGCAGTCCGCCACCCTTCCCTTTGTTCCCGAGCAGACATGACATCAGGAGCAAAGTAAAAGTCACCTCAATGCTAAATCTTATCTCCATCCCTCAGAAGGCCGAGCCCGCCAGGCAGCAGCCGCCCACCCGCCCCCACACACACCCCCACACAGAGGTAACAC